TTTGCAAGAGACAATGGAACAGTACTCAGTTCCTTTTCTAGAAGTGTGTCCAGATCAACCTCACGGCCTGCTTCAATGGACACCACAAATCTCCTGAATATACAATATTTTATACATAATCATTCTTCGGTACTGTACCTGAAAATGAAGAATCTAAAAATAAGCCTCATTTATAGTTAGCAAAACAACAGATAAAAGAAACTAATGGCATGTCCTATCAATATCTGTTATATACAAAAACATACTTGGAAAATTTCTAATATGATATGTAAAACCCTACAGCTTTCAACGTAAGACAATATATTTAACTAAGTACAATTTATTTTATTTATTACTTCATATTTGTGTAGAGGATTAACCTAGGACTAATGTTACCAAGTTTGTTGCCATTACCTATCTAAAGCCATAGCACTTCTTATTCAAATTGAAAGAAATTTTTCATAAGAACAATGAACCGGTAGCAGTTTGAGATACATATTTGTATGAACTATTCAGTTTGATTAAATATGAACATCCTCGGCTCATCACAATTGATTTTGAAAGTATAAATGTTTCCAATATCAGGACACATTCACAGAAAAGAAAAGAAAAATTCTGAGACGCTGATTATAATAGCGGGTTAAGAATCATGTTTAGGTCTATTCTGCAACAAGAGTATAATTCTTTGACAAATATATGCAATTTCGAAATTAGGCGTACTTGTGTTTCAATTATTTTATTTAGTTGTTAAGACACTAAAATGATTTCATAGCAGGAAGTTAATATTTGCAGAAAATATTGTTCCTTTTTATGTTGAATGAAACAAAATGAACAATATAAATGAATAAAATAAACATTCTTGAGTTTTATTATGGTTTTAAAGGGTTAGGCCCAAAATAGGCAATTTTGTGCCATTCATGCCCATTTTATGTCGACAAAATCTAGTTAGTTTGAATAAATATATTACTAGACATGATACAACATTAAACAAATATGTTCATTTTTATATGAAAAAAATCGAATGAAAGAATAAAACATACAGATTTCTCAGACCAAAAAGACCCGACTGAGGGTAGGGTATAAAATGGGCCACTTAGAACCATTTGCGAGATTGTCAAAAAGTGATTTTCCTGAATAAAATCTCTTTCTTTTGACATACATTGGCACGTTGTACTAAAAATGTCAGACATTTTCAATTTCCAGAGTCCTTATCAAGATCTGCTTCCTGACTGTTACTTCCTAAGAATAATAGTGTCGTTACTCAAAACTTTGGCCCGGCATGGCCAGGTGGTTAGGACGCTCGACTCGCAATCCGAGGGTTATGGGTTCGAATCCCTGTCCCACCAAATATGCTCACCCTTTCAGCCATGGGGGCGTTATAATATTACGATTAATCCCACTATTCGTTGATAAAAGAGTAGCCCAAGATTTGGTTGTGGGACGTGATGACTAGCTGTCTTCCCTCTAGTCTTACACTACTAAATTAGGTACGGCTAGCGCAGATAGCCCTCGTGTAGCTTTGCGCGAAATTCAAACCCAAAACGTTACATATTTTAAAATGTAACGATAACAACTCCTTACTTTTCAAATAGATACCCGTATTCTGTATATAAAACATTCACTGTATACATCCTATATTATATTATATATGTGTGTATACAGAAATGTACTACAAACATTGAACTCAAGATAAAAAAAATGCATTATACATTGAGAGGGTTTTAGAATAGCAGTTAAAGGAGCTATTTCTATTTTTCCTTTACAATATTCAAAGTAAGAGCAAGGTATGACTTACTCAATACAAGAAAAAGGAATACAAATGACTAAAATAACTAATAAGTAACCTATAAACTAGTGTGAAATAATCTAACACAGTTTACTTCATGTAATAGCTACAGTGTTAAAACAATGTTTTTTGAGGCCAATATTATTATTACGTTTCAAGAAAACAGCTCTTTTGGAGCTTGCATCAGACATTCCTCCTCTTTTTGCCTCAGCACGCCTTTTCCAACTGAAAAAAAAAAAAAAAACATTTCCATTGCAGCACTTGATGGAATAACTGTATTTAATGAAATGAAAACTGACCTAAGGACTGCATCTGGAAATACGTCATTATGAACACACTTTACAAGAGACTTATCTAGAAAAGCACCAACTTTTTGCCCCTTTGTTTGCAGGGATCTGAAAAGATCGTCTTCATCTTCTGTTTTTTGTTGTGCTGTCTTGATTAGGCGATTCTGTAGCTTATTGTGCTGTGTTCTTCTACTTTCGTGATCATTTTTTGTCAAACTTGTTGCTTCAGATTTTCTGGAAGCCAGGGGAGCTTGAAACAAGGATGAAAACACGCCGAAAGAATTGAATCATCAGTGTTGAAAAAGTTGTGAAACCTAGCTTCTATGCTTTGAATTAATATTCCAACTAGAGATTTGCACATTTGCAACCAGTTGGTGTTTGTATCGCCCAATTTGGCTACACAAACATGTAAGGTAGGAATCAAGTCCCATAAATGCTTCGTTCTCACGACGTTACTGCCCGACAGTGACATTAATACATCATGACTCAAACACCTACCAGATGTTTCATTTCCAGGGATACTAGTAACACTACAACAATTAACAAGCGTAGCTCTGTACTTATTCAGAGCTGTTCTACGCAAAACTACAAGTGTATAAAAAATATTCCGGTGTTATGTCAAGAAGAATATTTTCCAAATATACTTCTAAACTCTGATCCAGAGACAGCCAATTTGAAATTGTATAATGACTTGTTAGTTTTGCTAAAAAAGCATTTAATTACACCATCATTTATTCAACTTATTGAACTACTGTCTTTCCTAAAGTACTTAAAATCACTGCTTTTTTTGCACAGGAGTAAAAACATCTTAACTGCTAATTATTATTAAATTAAAAAGTTACGCGAAAATTGCACAACTCTCTCATCTAGTTGTCCATGATTTTCATGCTTAAATGTACCGATTTAAATCGCCCAAACATTTCAGAATATATCACAAAATGATAACCAGTTTGTTGGAATATCATCACTTAGCTTATCTAGTTTTGGATTGTGAATTTATCCATATAAAAACTTTTATTAGCGACACTGACAAAAGAAACGTATATAAAACAAACTAGTTAGAAAACAGTGATTTGTAGCAATTTTTTAAAAATGTCTTTATTCCTATTTAGAAATTGGTATGCTGTCATCACTCACTCTACCAATATAGTAAATTTCTGCAAGTAGGCAAACTTGTCTTACTTCCTTTGTGCTGAATACAAGGTTCTCCAGCAGAAAGATTTTTAACTACCATCTAAATTAAGACTTCACTCATTTTTATATTTCTTTTAAACAGCACGAAGACATGATAATCTATTCGCATCCAAAAGGTGTAGCTTATGTATACCTCCAATGAAATCCATGGAGTTGATATCTACATATTTGTGCTACTGGTCCTGGCTCTTAATAAACAATAAAGCAGTGCAATATTGGGCCACCATAAGCTGTGATAAAAGTAAGCAACTGATGTGACATGCCAAGGATGTAGCTAAGCAATAATTCAATTTGCAATTTAGCTCATTCAAATTAAAGATCAGACCATAGGTGTTACAAATTATAGTGGACAGCGGCATTTTGTGCACATAGATTACAGTCTGAAATTTCTCATATGGCATTCAAATTGTTACATAGCTGGATGTTCTATGCCCAGGAATATCCCACAGTGCTCCTCAAACCAATTCAAAATTCTCCTTGCATAGTGGATGGGCACATTATCATCCTTGAAAATGCCATTGGTAAAAAGGTGTCACCAGGAGTATGATGTCATCTAAAATGCCCAGGTTCTCAGTCAATGCTCTGTGGCCATGCAATTGGATGAATGAACTCTGTTAACACCAACAGAATACAATTCATTACATTACTTTCACCTTCCATAGCAGCTGGCATGAACACTTCCTCAGCAGCTCTTCAGAAAACATGATCACCACTGTAAAACAAGGTTAAATGATATTCATGTACTTCATGTACCACTAGTGATATACACACCATATTCTATGTGACTGGCACCAGTGAAGACATGACATCCTATTAGCATCCAAGATGTTTAGTTTGTGTATACCTCCAATGAATATCCAAGGAATTGATATTTCTACATACTTGTGCTACTGGTTCTGACTCTTAACTATTTAAACTCAGCATTTCGATTAAAAGGGGTGTTGCAGCTTTTCTGAAAAAGGTGAAAGCTGGGCAGTCCTGATCAATTATCACCTTCTTCCTGCACAAATTTCCCTTAACTGAACTGGTTTTCCACAGCATATTCCAAGTATATAAATCTTTGAGAAAGAAGATCTTTGGTTTTCCAGCAAGTTCATATCTTCATGCTGTTGTCCCTGCCACCTTACCCTTATGATGAACCCTTTTCCCATCTTCGGTTGAATGGCATATGATATCACATTCAACTGTATTATATCGTAAGATCACTTGTTGGTAATAAAGAAATGCCATGTGTTGCATTGATCTAACCATATATGTCAAGGAGAGGTATCCATGAATATTTAAGTGTTTTGTTCATAGGTTTCTGTAACAATGTAGCATCAGAAAAGTAAAAAAATAAAGGTGTACAGCTGACACATTTTCATGACATTTACATATAAAAAACAATTAAAATGACCTGCTAAGTAACATGTTGCACAGGTAAAGGAAAATTTCATTCTACAAAATTAGTAAATGTACTATGAAAATATATTTATTGATGAGGCTTAGCCAGTTACATGACATAAGAGATGAACAAGAAAGACTTCATAACTGTGCTGTTTATCCTCATATACTATACACTTGAAAACTCCAAGCTAATCACACAGAACATAAATCCATTTGGTTCTCACCAAGTGAGCTGTCCTAGTAGGTGGAGTTCACTTGTAGACAGTATTACTGTGACAAAATACGAGTTACATTCTGCTCTACAAGACAATAGATAAAAAAAAATATTCACCAACAATTATTTTTAGATAATTTAGAGTTGTTCTAGTAAAAATTGAAATAAAAAGCACCATTAACTGATTATTTTACTTGACACTAATTTAAATCTCTCTTTCTGATCCATACTAAACACGATCCCTATTTAGAACATATATATATATATATATATATATACGATTAATATACATAGCCAATACTTTACTCCAATACTTGGACATTTCTACCAAACAAAACCACAAAACTGGATGCTGACAATTTTTCACAATTCATGCTTAAAGTACATGTATTACATCTTTAAAAAGTTCCATACAAATCATGGTTTAAAAGTACATACTGTTATTTTATGTTACATTTTACAGTTGAGGATATACTTCTTTCCTAAAAATTCAGCAAATATTTGTTCAAAAAACATTTTACAATTTAAGTTTACATGCACCTCCTCGACTTTCAGATACTATTTGACCTTTAAGAACTTTTTAAATCAGGAGTGCAAAATCAGACAGAAAAAAATGCTTATTCAAAATCTGTCTACATTACTTTACAACACTTTTCAAAACCATTATATAACATGTGTAGCTAGTAAGATTACATCCAGTCCAAAATAATACAATAACATCCCTCAAATCCTTCAACTATTTCCTGTGCTTTTTTCAGTATTACATAGTTTACTGTACTAATACATACATGTTGTACAGTGGAAGAACTCGAGATTATCCTATATGAAGCTAAAAAATCTCCCAAAAATCACAGTAGACACTTAATTATTTGAAAAAATGACTGACTTTTCACTCAAGTTGGATTAGTTTGTATTTTACAAGTCAAAGTTTTCTTATTGTGTATTTAAAATACAAAATCTTTAACCATTACTATAAAATAAATTTTAATAAAAGATTTAGCCAACACACAAGTTCTTTTCACATCCGAATCTAGTTAAAAACAATAACAAAAGCACTTATAAATACACAGAAAGGTAAAGAAAACAAGAGTAGTTCCTTGTTTACTAAACAACTCAATCTTTATTTATTTTCAAATTCATGACCTGTAGGTAGTGAGACATAAGTATGATATTTAATTGGACAATCGTAGTCATACCATCAAATAATGTATGTTCAAAACCATTTCAAAAGAAAATGGAAATGTCTGCACCTTGTAAAATAAAAGAACAAAAATTCAATCTTATGGTTTATTGTAAATAAAAAAAACTTAACATTTTTGATGAAACCTGAGATTCTTGTGTGTGTTGATAACACACATATTCTAGAAATACAAATAATGTCTTGAAAAAAAGTTCATTAACTATGTGGCTAAATTTTTAAACTGCTTTGCCTCTTTCCTTGTATGTTTGTAACACATATTTAGAAAAAACAAATTCCTAGTCCAGTCCTTCTTATATATCTGAGACTACTGTAAATGTTTAAGGTGTCTTAGCAAATCACTGACTCTCACCATTTTCCTTTAACAGTAGTAGCAAAAATGTTCAATGTTTCCAACTTCAGCATGAGCTTAAAGTCACAACAAAGATTAGAAATTCTATTATTATAAAAGAGGGAATAATAAATGTATGTGACAACTAAACCATTTTGTAAAAAAAATTCACAGATCACTTATAATTAAAATGCTAGAGATATTTTTCTTTTTTTTTAATAGTCTTCTATAGATGGCTCTTTCTTATACGTTACAGGTAACATTTTAATAGGTACCTACTACATGAATGGGTATACAATATACTGTACATATACACATATCTATATAATTTTATTTTTAGAGGATAAACATGAAAATCTAGAAACATTATGCTAAAATCCAAGTTTCAAATGTTTCTTTCAAAACATTTGCTTAGTATATACATATTTGCTTTACATAGTTTTATATTACTTTCATATGAAAAACTTGTTCATGAAATATGTTGATAAAATCACTTCACTGACACGAAATAAATAGCACGATAATAAAGAATTTCAAACTTTCATGTTCAGTATTTCTAAAGATGAAAGAAAATGCATTTTAGTCACATATCTGAAGTTTATGAATATAGATACCTTGTGAACATCAATTAAAAAAAAATATGTAACTGTACAACAACAATCCAATGATCTAACTTGTTTAGAATAATTTTAAACATGATGCACCTACTGACATTTCAAAACATTCAGTCAAAACTGCTATCACACCAGAACATCAAGTACAGGGATAAAAATAGACATTATTTTTATTAACAAGAAACTATAGGCACAAGAGTGTGCAGAAATAATGTTTTAGAAATCAGCTGTAGGCAGGATGACAAACTATATTTTCTTTACTATTATATTTATTATTAAAAATCTTAAGTTAAAAGCACGAGTAATATCTGAAAAAATTACTGTTTCCCTATAGAATAAAATAACTTATTTGGTATGATTGAAAACTATTTTCTTAAACCACTAAAACTACAGATGGAAATAATTAAGTTATCAATAAAACTAGCGGTGTGGTGTGAACTGGAAAAATATAGTACTGATGCTATTAAAGGGCACTTCCTTTTTCCAAAGCTAATAATTTAATTTATTCATCATAATGAATATTGTCTATTGATATGTTCAAATATGACATAATACTGACAGGCAGAGTGATACCTGTATGTATGACGAAAGAAACATCTCTTCATTTTATTGGATTTATCAACTGATCAAGAAATGTCAGCATGTACTTCTAAAACTCCCCAATTTTTTGAACTAAGAATTTTGATAGCAAAATAATCAAAAAGTTGTAGGAGGATTAATTGAAAAATATATTTGCATAATTTCTCTTGGGACTTTTTTTTTAGTTTTATCTTTAATGCCTAATAAGCTTTTTTGAGATTAGTCTCAATGAACTGTTAAAGAAAAACTAAAGAAATCCTAAGTAAAATTCAAGCTAACTTACGACATTACACGAATACAGCTCGAAAAATGTTGCACAATTCTTGTATTGATTTCTATTTTCCAATAACATCAGTTAACTTTCCAAAGAAAGACTGGCAAGAACAGTGGTCAAAAGTCACTACCAAGGTTACAACATAAGTAATGTATCATTTAAATAATTAGCAAAAATGAATTTTTCTTTTACATTCATTTCAGGTCAATGTGATGGATGTTTATATTGTATCCAAAATAGAAGCTGTTGTGTATATAAAAGGTTTTCGTATGTGCAAATAGGATAATTGCATAATAGTAAAGAGTCGTTCACAATTATCAACAAATGGTACACTTTTTTGCAGACTCCCCCCTAAAAGTGTACAAAGAAAATGTTGATGTTTCACTACCTTTTTATTATTATAAGACTATGCACAATCCATGATCTTCACTATTCATGCTGTTACTTGCCAACGTTATCAGAAAGGGGGCTGTGTGTATAGTGGTAGTGTGGGAATTAAGCAAGCACCACCGGGAGAGAAATTTGTGCAAAAATTTAAATCAACATTTTTTTAATTTTCAAAACTTTACGGTGGCTCTTAACACCCTACCCCCAGCATATGTTTTGTATGCTTATGAAAATGTTAATAATTGTGAACTACCCCTAACTGATGAGAAAATTACTTTTATTTTTTTTCAATAGTAGATTCATTTTTTTTATGTTTTGTTTTCAGAAATAATACCTCAAAATTCAAAATATTAAAACAGAATCATAATCTACATTAATTTCTTATAGTTAATGTCAAACATGCTAAAATTACTTTTTATAATCATCTTATTTGCATATGAAAATTTTTTTTCTTGTATTTGAGTACACAACAGCACCCTCTGGACAAAATGTTAACCTCATTGATCTGAAATTGGTGTCAATAAATTCAATTTTGTCTATGTATTCCAAAGAGATACTACTTAAATACTAACTCTGATAATGATATTTAGTTAATGATCTTGACAGTTTTCCTATATTAATTCAGATGGGTTTAAAAGTAATATCTGTTTTATTACCACAAGTTCATGTTTTCAATCTCAGTTACACTTTGACTTTAAAAAGAACAATAATCATTTCCACAGATATATATATAATAAATATATCTACATACATATTCAGGAAACTACAAAAAAATTTATAAAACAGATTACATCAAAAGGAAGGATAGCATGAATTTTACACAGCACATCTAAGCCTTAGATGAAATATAATTAAATGTAATTTTATGGAGAGAGAGAGAAAAAAAAGATGCAACCACAAAATAAACATACAACACTGGAGCACAAATCATAAGGTGGGTTATTATGCTATGTGCCTTGGGTTTTTGAGGTATGGGCAGAAGTAAGACCCAAACTGCATTGGGGGGGGGGGGTCACTTTGTATTCAGTTTAACCTCAACTTCATCAATCACACATGCTCAGAAGGAAGGGGAAATAAAGATGTGTGTGCTCTAGTCCACAATGTCCCACATCTTTACCACCTTTTGCTGTCTGCAGCCAGGTGTGGGAAGGTGGTTACTCACAAAAAGTAAATAAAACAAAAATAATAATACAAAATAAATAACTAGAATACAAGACATCAATGTAGTTAGCATTCCAACTCTCCAATATGATGCTTGGACATAAATACCAAGATGTTTACATTGATGTCTTGTGTTCTAATTATTGTTTTTTATTTTATTTATTTATTTTTATTGAGCAACCACCTTCCCACATCTGGCTGCAGACACTGAAAGGTACTAAACATGTGGGATTTTATGAGATGGAGCACTCATGACTGCTCCTTTTTTTTTTCACTTCCGTCTAAGCATGCAAGGCCAGCAAAGTTCAGATTAAACTGGATAAACAGTGTACCCCCAATGCAATTTGGATCTTACTTCTGGTACCTCAAAAAAACCAGGGCACATTACATAATGAGCAACCTTATGAGTTGTGCCCCAGTGTTGGATGTTTGTTTCATGGCTGCTAATTATTTCCCCCCCCCCCTCTCTCTCTCTATATATATATATATATATTATATAAAGCAAATTTGTGGTACAGGGGCATGCTATAAGAAACCATATACATTTCAAAAAACACACTAGTTAACATTACTGTCAGGATATACTTGATACCCATAAATTCTGCTAATTATTTCTGTTATTTATTCAAAGGTTAGAAAATAGATGCTTGCTCTTCCAAATATTAAGCAAAAATTGATTCAATGTCATATACAGAATGCCCATGAAAGAATTTTACTTTTTATTATAAACCATGAAGTTTCCAAATGTTCAATAGGTTATGAGCAAACCTCAAACTTAAGATCATAAATCACTATTAATTTCTGTATTTAAAAGCTGAATATAATTAATTAGTTAATTACTTGTTAAACTAAACAGATAAAATGTTCTATTCTTTATTTTCCAGATAAAGCCTTTGGATATTACAAGTTGAAAAATTCATAATAACTAATCAAATTAATAAATAACTGGAAAGTAAAAAATTACTCCAGTAGCCACATCTGAAAATAGGATTCTGATTACACATAAGCAGACATAATCTAAGGATGAACACTTGTAATGCTTTTCTAAAACCTTTACAAATATATTTAATGAAAATAATTATCTCACTAACAGTACTCCATTATAAGGAAAGGAAATTTCATGTAGTTTTAAACCTTAAGTAATGTAATAAGCAAGGGAATGTTCCTTTTTAAAAAATTCTTTATCCTTGTTACTGAATATTTAAAAAAGTAAACACCAAAACTGGTATGTGTAAAAATGTTCAGATAACATTTTTGTCCACTAGTTTTCATTATTTAGAGATTTTCCAAATTAATCTTTGATTTATTCAAGTATCAATAATCTATAAAGGTTTATTATTAAAACTTTCTTTTATTACTAATGTACATAAACCAACAGAAAAGTAAAAAGAAGAATAAAAATTTTTTAACAACCATAAATGAACAATATTGTAGTATAATGGGATGGTACATTGTATCTCACCATTTTTTTAGGAGTCTACATTCCTACTAGACTGACCTATAGCAACTACAATTCTTTCCTTTGCAAAAAACAAACTTATAAACAAAATTTATAGCTTCATAATTCTTGTTTACCTTATTATATATATATATATATATATCATTTACTTCAAAATAGATATCATTTACATATTGCTTGACACTAGGAAAATACATGGTTTCATAACAATCCACATCTGTATTTTGAACCAGTGTGATAAAAAAGGATGTAAAATTTAAAACCTTTTGTATTTTTTAATCTACTGTTGAAAATATTCAGGTCTCGTAATTACTTTTGAAAAAAGATTTCCATAGGATTACAAAATGAGAGATTGTAATACCGTATTTCATGCTCTGAAAATAATGGTCCATAATGTTTGAATATAATACAAAAGTAGTGTAACAAGAAGTCGATGTACAAAAAACAATCAAACAAAACAAATCTCTTATTTAACACCTGTACAAGGGGTAGAATGATTTACAAAAGCATTTACCATAAAACTAACTACACAGTGTAAGCCATTCATCTAAAATTTATGATAATAATAAAACAAACTCTTTAGCAGTTGAGCATGGTCTGGTCATTAGAAGTACCCGTCCTAAACAGGTTTAAACTTAAGAAAATTGTAGTTTGTTATCTACAGATAACTTTACAAGCAACATTAACTGTACAATTATTCTCACTACTTTACAATCTCAAAATCATAATAAAATTCAAAACTATTGTTAGGAAGCACCTCCTTGTGCAATGACTGTCCCAGTATTTCCTGGTAAAACGTTTGAAGTACCAGCCACACACACAGTCTGAATGTGATCACTATCAGTTACCTTCTCGTTGAGGAGTGTTGGAGTAGACAGGTTGCTGGGACTGGACACCACTGACAATTCAGTATTTAATGTCTGAAGAGGATACTTCCCAAGAGTAGATAACAATTGCTGTACACTAGGTAAAACCTGTCCATTTGCTGTAGAGCTGATAAAAAACCCGTTTTGATTGGCTGGATGTGAGAAGGCTGAGACAGACTCAGAACCAGGAAGGAACCAATCTGGTAATGTATGGTCTATAGAGGGTACATTTTCTTCCCCTGTACTGCTAGTGCTGCCAATCCCTGTTGTTAAAAAAGTATTTACTGATGAGAAAACTGTATTGGTCGTAGAAGTGTGGGAGTTACCAATGCCTACAGCTGTAGTTGAAAAAAGTGAGGCACCATGAGGAAAACTACAATCCACTGAACTGGCTATTCCTGGATCCACACCAGAGTAAGATGCTGAAACACTATCTAAAACATTAGAGAGCAGACCAAAACCATCTGCCTGAACATGACTTTGTCCAAGATAATATCCATTGACAGATGTTGAATGGGAAAGATCTGCAGGTAAAATGGGAACATTAAGAAGATGATTTTGTAATATGTGGCCTTCGGATACAGGAGAAGAGTGGGACAGACGACCTTGGGCCACGTTTGAAAGATCCTCAGACAAAGATGTCAGGTCACTAGACAAGCTACTTGTGATGACATTGAGGTTATGCAAACCAGCATGGGTCAGATCATGAAATGAATTTTCATTCACTTGCCCAACTAAATTGTCTGTTTCAAGCAACCCACTGCGAAGATCTTCTGATGCTGCAAGGACACTGAGCTCCCTCCCAGTTACTGACAATTTTGCAAGAGACTCTTTAGCCATTCGTACATCTTTAGACACTGCTGCCAGTGCCCTTTCCAATTCTTCTGTTTCTTCTCTTGTAGGAACATATTCTCCATTCTTGCTTTCTTTATAAAATGAGAAAAAGTTAATATTTATACATACTCTACAGTTGAATATAGTTGTTTATATATTTAAAACCACAACTCACTTACTTGTCAATGCAATACATTTTGTACACCATTTTTCTTGCTTAGAAATTAATATTCTTTAAATATGATTAAGTGCAATGTTTCAACTTCATAAATTTGGTAATTAAAATATAAAATAAATAGTTTTTCAAAACACACATAGCTATCAAACTATAATGCTACGAACACAGTCACCTAGACCAACTTGTTATCTCAATGATTTACGTGGAGATTATTCCCAACAGTTTGAAGTTACAAAAAAAAAAAAAAGTATATAATGTGACAGAATACTACAATATTAAAAAATTTCTTTTTTTTGAGGTTCCTATAATTTTGTCACATTCATTTTTTCCCTTAAGTAAGCATTATGCAGTAGGTCTTTATTTCTCACTGTCAACAACATAAATCAATACATTCATCAATGTTACTGTCTAATCAAATTGTTGAATGCCTTCTATTTAAACAATTTAAAACCTAATGTATAAGCCATTTTCTTTCTCTTTTACCAACTGAGGAAGCTTTGGTGAAGAAGCGAAACATCTTGATTTATAAATTAGTTACTTAAGAGAAACTGAAGATTTTTCAGAACTTTAGGAATATATACTTTGATTCTCTCATCAAATATAACTTTTACTATTATCAGAATGCTGCATTCTTTAATTCCTTCACTGTGGCAGCATGTTTACTCCCTAACTGGAATAATTTTTTAATTGTTAATTTTTTACAATGTTATAATATAGTTTTAAAGTCATTACAACAGGTTGTTTATGATTTCACAGTAGAATCCTTTGTTTTGTGACATCATATTTTTTTCATCTTTTAACACTTAAAAATCATATGTTCTGGATTTTTAGACTTTCTGCTCTCATTACATAACATATTCTTCTTGATATATGTAAATGTAATGCGTACAATTTACAGGCATCCAATATTCAAAATTTAGAATGTAAAATTATTATTCTTATTATGATAAGTAAACATGTACCAATCCCAAATTTAGAATAAAATGGATTTAGCTATTTCTTAGTTATTAAGGTTTGGCTAGAATTATTTTTGTAAAATGTAAATACATTAACACACTTTAAAATGATTGTAAAAGATGAAGTTCTGTAAGGTTTTTAGAGTGTAAAATTATTATTCTAAATCTTAAGATATATACATATACAAGTGAAATAAAATAAAAATCATTTAATGTTCACCTTTATGCATAGTTTAAAGAGCCCAAACACAATTTCCATAAGTTTTTAAACACCAACCAATTCTATGACTTTCAAGAATTTTTCAGGATCAATTTTGAATTATTCCAAAACTTTTTCAGACTAATTTCAAGATTATTTATTATTTAGCAACAGATAATTTTAAATATTTCACATTAAGTAAAATAAAAATATATTAGTTAGAATTTCTGAAAACAACGACTTTCCAAACTTTACACCACATGACAAAGTTTCCAAGACTTTTTAGGATCTGAAATAATAAAAACTAAACTGTAAAACTTTCCAAACATGTGCAAGTCCTAGCTTTATATTAAAGGTGTGCTATCTGCTAACTTTGAAATGCACACAGTTTTTGGTTTGGAGCTAACCTTTAAGAATGCAGAGCAGCAATTTCACTGCTTAAAAGTTATATATAAAAAAAGCACACTGTAGATAATGTTGCATAAGTTTTCCTACTTTACTGTTTTGTGATTGGTTATTTTGGTTTAGTTCTGAATTGAAAAACAAAAAGCAATTAGTATTATTCTAACTAACAAAGAGTTTAAAGTAAATGCAGATAAATGAAACATTTTAAAGGTTAAAATATACTTCAAACATTTGATGTAATGGCCAGAAATGTATATGCAATAAAGGATGCTATTACAGCATGCAGTTTACACAGATAGCATCATCATCATCACCATTTTTTTGATTCACTAAAACATAATTTCTTGTAAATAATTTATAACCATCTACATTTTTGTTCAGCAAATAATAATACTTTAATAAGTTGTGTGTTCCAAAAGAGTACCTTAAATTTAGGTTATAATTGTGCTAGTTTTGATTGTTGGAATTTATTTCATTCCGATTATATTTGCCTCCAAAACATTATGTAATGGTATTTGTACTTTACTAGTTTAAAAGAGTTATTTATAATAAATGGTACCAATTGCAAATAAACAAAAGTTAAAATGGTGATGATGATGACAGTGTCTGTGTAGAATGCACACTATAGTAGCATCCAATAAAGGTTAAAAAGGAAATAAACTAAAGTTTACGTTGACCAACTATCCTTCCTCTG